AGGTCACCTTCAAAGGGAGCCCCACATAGAGCACATTGCAGTAGTTCAAGCAAGAGATAACCAGAGTATGCACCACTCTGGCGTGACAGTCTGCGGGCAGGTAGGGTCTCAGTCTGTGTACCAGATGGAGCTGGTAAACAGTTGTCCTGGACACAGAATTGACCTGCGCCTCCATGGACAGCTGTGAGTCCTTCAGGGGCACAGTTGCCCCTGTCAGGACCAGGGAGTCCCCCACACCTGCCCACCTCCTGTCCCCCTAAAACTAAAGTCAGCTTCTGCTGAAAGAACCAGTGGATACTGCGGGGGAGCAAAAGATTCTCAAGGGTTGTGGTGGCTTTAAATGCTGCTCTGTGTTTGGATTCTGTAACATTCTGGAGGCAGCTGAATGAATAATTCACAATGAATGATTTAGTTGACTAATTTAAACTAATTTTCTCAGAACTAATTGTCCACAAATAGTGTTTCTCTCTCTGTGTGTGTGTGTGTGTGTCCTAGCAAATATTTGCCATTGGCAATTGTTTGGGCAATATTTTTGGAGAATGGATGGCTGAAGATTGCTCGGGAACTGGCTGTTCATTGCAGCTATTTGTCTAGCATCCTTTCTCTGTTTTCCAAGCTTCTACAGAAACAGCAGGCAGAGAGTGGAGTGTTTAAGGGGAAATAACAGCAGGAGATTAGCAAATCTGGTGAAATTCAAAAGGATGCTTAGATATTCAGCAGGGATAAAATAAGCAATCATCATCATCATCGTCATTTATATCGAACCCTTTTTCTCAAAATGGGACTCAAGGCGGTTTACACAAATTAAAGCAATGCATGGGAAATGCAGAAATCTAGAAAATGTAGAAAAATACTAGTTAGAAAGTAATCAAACTATGATAGAATTAAAGCAATATAAAATGTGTTTGATGTTTTAATTTGCTGGAAACCACCCAGTGTGGTTGGGGCAACCCAGCCAGATGAATGGCAAGCAAATAAATAAACAAACAAATTAATTAATAAAACAAATCTATTAAGGGAGATCCCGACCAAAAATCAGGAAGAACTTTCTGACAGTAACAGCTGTTCGACACTGGAACAGAGACTACTTGGGAAAGTAGTGGACTCTCCTTCATTGAAGGCTTTTAAAGAGAGGCTGGATGCCCATCTGCCAAGGATTATCAAGCTGTGCTCCTGCATCGCAGGGGGTTGGACTAGATGACACTTAGGGTCCCTTCCAGCTCTGCGGTTCTATCATTGTAGGGGATGGGCTCCAAGTTCAGGTTTCCCTACTGCAAATTCTACATCCTGGCAACACCTGTCATCTCAAACCTGATGTACGCCGTCTTTGAAATCACTCTTTAGTTCTCTTACAGGACTTGTGATAGTGCATTTGCATGTTAAACATACAAGGCTTGTGCCAGTTCGGTGCACCAGCAGAAGGAGAAATGACAGGGCTAATTCAGCATGCTCTGTTTGGGAATCCTCTGGTCCAGCAAAAGCAATAAACACATAGGAGCAGCGCTGGTGCCAAGCTATTTTGCGCCCTAGGCAAGGCTAACTACAGTGGTACCTCGGGTTACATACGCTTCAGGTTACAGACTTCGCTAACCCAGAAATAGTACCTCGGTTTAAGAACTTTGCTTCAGGATGAGAACAGAAATCGCGCAGCGGCAGCGCAGCAGCAGCAGCAGGAGGCCCCATTAGCTAAAGTGGTGCTTCAGGTTAAGAACAGTTTCAGGTTAAGAACGGACCTCCAGAATGAATTATGTACGTAACCAGAGGTACCACTGTACTTGCACCCAAAAAGCTAAGGAGCAATTATGAACAGCAATTCTAATGTATGAATTGCTTTTAAAAATGATTAAAATTTTCAAAATATAAAATATCATCAGAAATGTAAAAGATGTAACAAAAACTAATCTGTTTTAAACTGTGCCCCTCAAGGACATTACTAAAAGGTAAAGGTAAAGGACCCCTGGATGGTTAAGTCCAGTCAAAAGCGACTATGGGGTTGCGGCGCTCATCTCGCTTTCAGGTCTGCGTTTGTCTGCAGACAGCTTTCCAGGTCACATGGCCAGCATGACTAAACCGCCTCTGGTGCAAGGGAACACTGTGATGGAAAGCAGAGCGCATGGAAATGCTGTGTACCTTCCTGCTGTAGCGGTACCTATTTATCTACTTGCACTCGTGTGCTTTTGAACTGCTAGGTTGGCAGGAGCTGGGACAGAGCAACAGGAGCTCATTCCATCATGGGGATTTGAACCGCCAACCTTCTGATTAGCAGGCCCAAGAGGCTCAGTGGTTTAGACTACAGTGCTCTCCCCTGAGGTCTGCACCTTAGGCGACTGCCTAGTTGGCCTAATGATAAGCACTGGCTCTTTGTAGGAGCACATTCAGCTAAATCGTTGCACTAGCAGAAGTCCGTGCAATTATTCTCTCTAGCAGAATGGGACTCTCCCTGCTGCCCTCGCCTCATGCAACCTCCTCGCGTCCTCCCCAAATCTGTTTCAGAGGGTCAGGAGAACCTCTGGAACCCCATTCAGGGAGAGGAGATAGCCGATTGTCCCACTAGACATGCAGAAATACTCATACAGATGCAGCTATCTCCAAAGCACTCCTTTTGAATACAGCTCATACAGTGGTGCCTCGCAAGACGAAATTAATCCGTTCCGCGAGTCTCTTCGTCTTGCGGTTTTTTCGTTTTGCGAAGGACGGCTATTAGCAGCTTAGCGGCTATTAGCGGCTTAGCGGCTTAGCGGCTATTAACGGCTTAGCGGCTTTAAGAAAAAGGAAACAAACTCACAAGAACTCGCAAGACGTTTCGTCTTGCGAAGCAAGCTCATAGGGAAATTCGTCTTGCGGAACGACTCAAAAAACGGAAAACTCTTTCGTCTTGCGCGTTTTTCGTCTTGCGAGGCATTCGTCTTGTGAGGTACCACTGTACTCTCAAGGATCTGAAACAGAGAAAGTCATTAATTCCTACAGAGCAAGAGAACTGTCAACATACATAATATTCGGCTTGGTAATGTATGCCCCCACTTTTTTTGTTTTGTAACTTGTATACAGTTACAATAAATTAAAAAAATAGGATTTTTTTAAAATATAAAAATTGGAGCTGCCCAAAGTACACAGTCCTGATGGTCCGTGGGAGCAACTCAGCAACATTATCCATTAGCAGTTTCCACTGCTTTCCAAGTTGCTAATTATACCAAACTGCAGCACTGTTCCTACAGTAAGATAAGTTAATGAACCTCAGCTCATTATCCCTTGGTTTACTTAATAGTTCACATTATTATTGAAATGTGAAGCAGTAAGTATGCCAGCTTGTAATTGTTTTTTTCTCCCCTTATCTCTCCCCCCTCCCCTTCTTTGTATTTATTTTCTTGTATTATAGTGCATCTGTAGAGGGTGGCTTAATTACGATTTACTCTGTACTCTATATGTAAATGAATGGAGTTTCTTCTTTGTCTTAAGTGCTGCAGGCAGCATCCAGCAAGGAGAAATTGTTCCCCGCGCTGTCCACACTTATTTAAGAACTTGGAAGGCAGGTGAGGTGAAGGTGGCTGTGGTGCGGAACAGGAGCAGCAACAAATGCGAAAGATTTATTACCCAAACGGGGGGGTACCAAAATCGCAACACATGTCAGGCATTCTAGTCCGCCTTATAAAGATGAAATAATATGTGCTAAATAAGACTCACATATAATAAACAACACATTTTCCCTGCACTGCTGCAAGTTCGCCCATCTGTTTGTTTGCCTGCCTGCCTGATTTCCCTCTAGTTTTTTGCTGCTGCAAGTGAGAAAGGTACCATGATAATAATGATGATGATGATGATGATGATGATGATAATAATAATTTATTTATACCCCGCCCATCTGGCTGGGCTTCCCCAGCCACTCTGGGCAGCTTCCAACAAAATATTAAAATACAGTAATGCATCAAACATTAAAGGCTTCCCTAAACAGGACTGCCTTCAGATGTCTGGTTGTTGTTCTCTTTGACATCTGGTTCCACAGGGCGGGCGCCACTACTAAGAAGGCCCTCTGCCTGGTTCCATGTAACTTGGCTTCTCACAGTGAGGGAACCACCAGAAGGCCCTCAGCGCTGGACCTCAGCGTCCAGGTAGAACGTTGGGGGTGGAGATGCTTCTTCAGGTATACTGGACCAAGACAGTTTGGGGCTTTAAAGATCTTCCAGTCACCAGTCTAGCTGCCGCATTCTGGATTAGTTGTAGTTTCTGGGTCACCTTCAAAAGTAGCCCCACATAGAGTGCATTGCAGTAGTCCAAGCAGGAGATAACCAGAGCATGCAGCACTCTGGTGAGGCAGTCTGTGGGGAGGTAGGGTCTCAGTCTATTTACCAGATGGAGCAAGTAAACAGCTGCCCTGGACACAGAATTGACCTGCGCCTGCATGGACAGCTGTGAGTCCAGAATGACTCGCAGGCTGCACACCTGGTCCTTCAGGGGCACAGTTACCCCATTCAGGACCAGGGAGTCCTCCACACGCGCCCACCTCCTGTCCCCCCAAAACATTGCAACACTGGGTAGCTCAGTTGGTTACAGCATGGTGGTGATAATTCCAAGGTGGCAAGTCCCCATATGGGACAGCCTCATATTCCTGCATTGCAGGGGGTTGGACTAGATGATGCTCAGGGTCCTTTTCCACCTCTACAATGCTAGGATTGAAAGCAGAGCAGGAGGGGGAAGCAGTGGCAGAGCTTCAGAGCAGGCGAGGGCATGGCTGGTGAGCGTCCCGGGGGCATGGCGCCCAGTGTGGCAGGGCAGCTGCGATGGCACCCCACTGGGATCACGCTGACCAGGGCGGTGCACTCCCTCTGCCCCCCTCGTCCTCCGCCAGTGCGGGGAAGCAGCAAATCTGTGTCTAAGGAACCCATGACATTTCATCAGAGGAGAGGCGCTGAATTGGTCCTTCTCCTTAGTTCCTAGGCGACGTCATCACATAAGTCACATTTGATTGGCTGTGCACATAGTATTGTGACGTCATCTTGTTCACTGCCACTGCCTCTCCTTAGGCTTAGGGGACAACTCAGGTGAAGGAAAAGCAATGCATGCAAGTATATCCAACAGTACTGAGAAAACTGCTGTCACTTGGCTTATCAATGGACCAGTTGGCTATCAGGAAAAGCTGTGTTCCTGATTAAAGCTCTTCTATTCCTCAGCAGCACCGTGTGAGAGAGCTTAAGAATAAGAAGTCTGCAAATATGCCAGCCTTCCCAAGCCAGCACCATCCAGATGTTTGGGACTCCCAGCTCCCATCAGCCCTAGCCAGCACAGCCAGTGTTCAAGGATAATAGGAGCTGTAGCTGAAAACACCTGGAGGGCACCAGCTTGGAGAACCCAAAATACTTCATGCTAATTTAATTTCCATCAGTGTTAGACACTGCTGACAGTTCCTTGTTTATTGTGCTCCGCTTAGTGCATTTTCCTGTGTGCCTGACTACTACTTTTGTCTGCTTGTGAGCTTATTGTTTCCCCCCTACCTGAATTACCAAAATAAGAAAGTCCTTTGCAGCCAGTTACTTTTTAAAAAACAACAACACACCCTACCTTTGTCCGGAAGCTGCTAAATGTTCAGATTCTTTTTTCTTTTCTTAAGACAAAATGAAAAGAACTTTTCTAATTATTCCACCTTATAGACCCCCCCCTTCTTTTGGAGGAAAGGGGCTTATTTTATTCAAGCTGTCATCCTAATTCTCAAGCAGCTTCAAGGATTGTACCGGCCTCAGGAATACTGTTTACCTTCAAAAGAGACACCAAGCATGAAGACTCTCGGCCTAAAAATAGATATACATAGCGGGAGTTGGGTTTGGGTTATAAATAGAAACACAGGTATCTTTGCAACCAATAACCAATTTAATGTATGTGAGATTGAGCAAAGAGAACAAAGAGCAGGAATCATTTCCCTCGGGATTTAGTTATTTCATGTTGGCAGAGATTTGATTAGTGCGATTTTTAATTAGTTTGCCTGTGGCTGGGTTTTTTTTTTAAACTCTGCACTGTGTTTCTGTGGTAGTTCTAAAAAGAGCCATAAAAAAAAAACTCCTAGCCCATCTCTCAGAAGTGCTGATAGAAATTCTCCAATATGTGCCTCCACTTTCCATAGTCTCCACTAAAGCTTTGCTCCAAATAAAAATGAAAACGTGAGAAAGGATGAGCATTGTATAGACCAGAAAACGTGTGTGCTTTGATATCTCCATTTTAGCCGATACAGCAGTTCCCTAGGCTTAAAAAAAACACCATATGATCCAGATACCTAAATGCATTTACCTGGAATTAAGAGTTGATCCTTAATGCTGATGGTGGTGGCAGCAGCGGCAATGACCTTCATCAAATGATTTAATCCTGGAAACATTTTTTTTTCTTTAGCAGAATCCATAAGAAAACAAGTCAGGTAAATAACACACAAACACATGAGCAACTGCACCATAAAACCAACTGAACTAAACTGCAGTGAGGACCACAATTAGAAATTGCTGAGTAAAGAAAACAGGACGTCCAGCCATCAAATTCTGCAACTGAACTATGTGAGCTGAAGGAAATTGTGTGTGTGTGTGTGTGTGTGTGTGTGTGTGTGTTGGGGCTCTTTTTACCAATCCCCAGGTACAATACGTAACCCAAATATACTTGCTGGGAAAATGGCCACCTCGGTTTGAGTGCTGCCACTCTTCCCTACGCAGCCGCACTGACGCCTCCTTCTCTGAAAGGTAATTACTGAACTGCCGCAACCTCTGGATGAATCTACTTTTCTGCATAAGAACACAAAAACGGGAGATCAGCAGCCAAGAAGGTTTGATCGGGGAGCACCTCTTAGAGAAAGAAGAAATCCGATGGAGGGAGAGGAGTTGATTCGTGCCCTGTTTTATGTGGCAATATCGCCTTAATCAGACATCTATTCGCTGGTTTGTTAATGAGAGCTACATGTCAGACTCGCTGCACATGAAGATATGAGGTTATTCCCCCAAGAATCGGCTGGCTGGGATTTCAAAAACTCCCTGGCTCTAATAGCTGTAATTTTCTAACACTTTATTACCTCTGAGCTTACAAAAAGCTCCAGAGAGTTTCTGACAGCAAAGGGAGCTTGCAGAAGGGGGGGTGGTTTCTGCCCCCTGGAAGCTACGGCCGTTTCTGCTGGGGTGAAGCTGATAAGCACATGCACCCACTAACCTATAAAAGGATAATGACATATTGAAAGAGTGATATATTCAAACGGCTTGGGGTGGGGGAATTGATTGGCACCCACATATCTGAAGGACCCTCTTGGGGTTGAGATCAGCAGAGGGGGCCCTCTTGGTAGTTCCTCCACCCTCAGAGGTTGGGAAGGGGGAGACAGCCTGGAACGGGGCATTTTCTGTAGTGGCTCATAACCTGTGGAACTCCCTGAACACAGAGGTATTTGGGGCAACCTTCATTATACAGCTTCTGGAATACTGCTGATGAAGCATCTGTGATGCACCTCTTTACACTGGCTTTTGACACTTGAGGTGTGTGTTTTTAGGATCCCAATTACGTTTATGGTTGCAAGTTGTTCTACATCATGGATAGGCAAACTAAGGCCCAGGGCCCAGATCTGGCCCAATCGCCTTCTAAATCCAGCCCGCAGACGGTCCGGGAATCAGCGTGTTTTTACATGAGTAGAATGTGTCCTTTTATTTAAAATACATCTCTACGTTTTTTTGTGGGGCATAGGTAATTGTTCATTTCCCCCCAAAAAATATAGTCCAGCTGCCCACAAAGTCTGAGGGACTGTGGACCAGCCCCCTGCTTAAAAAGTTTGCTGACCCCTGTTCTACGTTGTTGTCAATGTTGTGTTTTATGATGGACAACATCTTGCAGTAAATAAAAAAGACCACGCAGAGTCAAAGGTCCAAAAGAAAGACTTTTACTAAAAGGCAAAGGCTTGTTACAAAAGCTTCAGGGAAAAAAAACTTCAGACACACGAGGTACAAACGAAAGTAAAAGAGAGATAAAGAGCAGCTCGCTGAGTGCAGGAATTTGTCTCTCCTGGTTCAGCGTGACGTTGAGATAGTCAAAACAATATTTGCATCGGAAAGGAACCTTCTAGAATCTTCCAGAATCTTCTAGCAGTTTCCAGTTTCTGCCCTCAAAGACTTTAGTCATGGCATCTTAATGCTGTAACCTGCCCTGGGACCTTAGGGTGAAGGGTTGATAATAAACAAATAAATAATAGGCATTTTTGAGCTTGGTGTACCAACAGTGTGACAGAATGAAACAGTATCCTATGCTCCTAAGAATTTCCAGAGCTGTATTGGCTGTAATGCTTGCCCAATTTCTTCCTAAGTTACCACATGCTGCTAAAATATGTCATCCTGAGCTAGAGATTCAGCATTAGCCTTCTTTTCTGCTTCATCTCTCACTAGAGGTTGTGGTAGACTAGCTTGCCTGGGGGAATTATCCCGCCAGACTCTCTAAATCACACCCTTAACCTGGCTGGGGTTCTGCCCAGGCTTAGGAGTATCAGATTGCCTTGATTCCCATCATATGCTGCACAACTAGTGCAATCCATAGCTCTATGGTGCATTGGACCCACTGCCTGTTCCCAAACGACCTGCTGCACATTGCAGATCTCACAGCACAATGCAGTGAGGCACAGCTTGCATTAAGTGAATCCAGGCAGTGGCAGTCTGAAGGATCCATCTTTACATGTAAGGCTAGAGTTTCAAAGGCAAGTCTTCTATCCGGTAGGATGAGCTGCAAAAAGTGTAAAAAGTTAAGACCCTCCACTTCCCCCTCCTCTTCTCAGTAGTTCCATGCCAGCATTTCTTCAAACTTTCAGGGAACATTTTGTTAGAATTCCTGCTCCATGATTGCAGTCATGGGATTTTTGTCTATCACATGGCGGTGTATGTTTTGACTCCACAGAGTGGGAAGTGACGGAGACAAGATGTCTGTGTTACTGTGTTCCGTGAAGTGGGACTATTGTCCTTTGTTCATTCTCCTTGCTGTCTGATGCTGGAGAGAGAGGGAGCCATGTTGCAGTGCTCCATGTGTGTTTACAGTGGTACCTCGCAAGACGAAAAACTCGTAAGACGAAAGGGTTTTTCGTTTTTTGAGTTGCTTCGCAAGACGAATTTCCCTATGGGCTTGCTTTGCAAGACGAAAACGTCTTGCGAGTTTGTTTCCTTTTTCTTAAAACCGTTAATACCGTTAAAACTGTGCTTCACAAGACGAAAAATTCACAAGACGAAAAAACTCGCAGAACGAATTAATTTCGTCTTGCGAGGCACCACTGTATATGTAAATAAAGTAGATTAGCCAAAATGCTGAGTTGCTGAGGTCTGTCACGCAAGGTGTGAAGACTCTGTGGATCCCTAAGTGTGCCGGTGTCGGTTGGCATCGGTCGCTGTGATGTTCGGGCAGAAGAAAGCTTATGAAGCTTCCGAAAGATCGACCAGGAGGGAGAGAACACGCCAGTTGGGCTTGTGTCTCTGCCAGGGTCCTACTCAAGTGTAGGCTGAACTCTTGACACATTTGCCATGTTGACCTGATTGCCCGCAAAGCTGTGAGCATCAGCCACAGAATCCCTATGGACTGCAGAGGATTTGGGGTCTCTAACTGAAGCTGGTGGCAGCCAAAGAGATGGTTTTCTCAGCTATAGCTCTCTGCTTGGGGAATGGCTGTAGCTTTATGGCAGGCAGTGGCAATGGAAGGGGGGTGAGGTGGGTGAGGTTCTGCCTGGGTGCCATTACTGAGGGGGGTGACAAAAAATAACTCCCGCACCCACCGCATGCCCCTTCCTACGCCACTCCAGGAGCACTCTCCCCTCGAGTGATTTCCAGAAACCAGAAGCATGTCTGCCTCCATCTTTGCAGGCAGAGCACAACCTTTATGGCTAGTAGCCTTCGACAGCCCTCTCCTCCATGAATCTGCCTAATCCAGAGGCGTAGCTAGGTGAGCCGGGGGGCGGCGGGCGGACCGCCTGCAAGGTCCACACTGCTTTTTCAATCAGCGTGGGGCTTGCGTCTGCCCACTGCATCAGCCGCCCTACAACTCACATTTGAAAGCCAGCAACTCTGCTTTCTGAAGAAAGAAAGAAAGAAAGAAAGAAAGAAAGAAAGAAAGAAGACGGAAGGAAGGAAAGAAGGAAAGAAAGAAAGACGGACGGAAGGAAGGAAGGAAGGAAGGAAGGAAGGACGGAAGGAAGGAAGGAAGGAAAGACAGAAGGAAGGAAGGACCTAGCATGAAACAAAGGTGAATGCTCTTGCAGTGAGAAAAGGGAGAGGCCGCTGTGAAGTTTGCAAAGGGGTTTTTACTGCTCCTTTCGGAGGGAAAAGCATGGAGCTGTTTTCCAGGTGTTCAGCAATAAATGAAATGCTTTGCCGTCATCATTCAACAGATATTTCAAAGAGACTGTGCTGAGTTCAAAGCGGCAGTTAACATATGCTAATAATGCTAATTCCCTTTTTGCTGCTCTCTTTCAGAGTAAGCGACAAGGCCTTGCTGGAGCAGTCAAAAGGGAATAGGGATGGAGGTGTAGCTTCCCCCGGGCAGGATCCTTGCTTTAATTATATGGAATGTACCAGAGCTTATGTTCTAGTCTGTTAAAATGTGCCAAGCTACAAAACGTGCCCCAGAGCCCCAAGTGTACATTGCCGTTCACCTCGCCGAGCAGTTTGCTCCCAGAGTCACTTTGCAATTTGGTAGGTAGGTGGTTTAACAACACTGGGAACAGATGAGGCCCCTTTATTGCAAGCCATCGCTTTCTAATTTGGATACAATCCACGTTCCCCTCACTCTAGGATGGTGGCTTTATCACTTGGTGAGGAGCAAAGAGCATGTCCACTGGGTTCCAAACTTCACAGGATTTTTTCATTTATTTATTTTCGGCTGTCCACATTTCTTTAAGTCTCTAAATTCCCCAAGTCCTCTAAATTCAGAATCAGGGCAGACACAAAAGACAGGGTGGCCACCTGTCCCATACAATACCGGATTGTCCAGTATTTCGATGTAAAATGCAATGTCTTGTATGGATACAGTCTTGCTGTGTATTTCAGGTCCTCCACTCTCTCACTCTCTCTCTCTGCCAAGTTAGGGATCCTCTCCAAATGCATGTTTTTGAAAGGGTGTGTGAAAGGTAATGTATTTAAGCTCTAGGTAGCCAAGCATAGACAAATTTAAAGATGTGTGTGTGTGTTTGTGTGTGTAAGAGAGAGAGAGAGAGAGACCTCTGAGATCAACGGGGTTGACCCCCCCTCCAGTTAAGTGTGTTCCATTCCTTAGTGCTGTGGTCTAAACCACAGAGCCTAGGGCTTGCTGATCAGAAGGTCAGCGGTTTGAATCCCCGTGACAGGGTGAGCTCCCATTGCTCAGTCCCAGCTCCTGCCAACCTAGCAGTTCGAAAGCACGTCAAAGTGCTAGTAGATAAATAGGTACCGCTCCAGCAGGAAGGTAAACAACGTTCCCGTGCGCTGCTCTGGTTCGCCAGAAGCGGCTTAGTCATGCTGGCCACATGACCCGGAAGCTGTCTGCGGACAAACGCCAGCTCCCTCGGCCAGTAAAGCGAGATGAGCACCGCAACCCCAGAGTTGTCCGCAACTGGACTTAATGGTCAGGGGTCCCTTTACCTTTATTCCTTAGCTCAGCTGCAAACCTCTCTGCATGACCTTGGATTAGGAATGTTATTTTGCAGAGGTGGTTGTTGGTGGTAGAATTCAGCTTGCTTCACCTCCTGATGCAAGCCCACCTATTTGTATTTTCCCCAAATCATGCACAACCCCAAATGGAGCTATCCTTTAAAATTCATAGTTCTCCAAATTTTGCAAAGAGATTTAGCTGTTACCAAAAATGTGGACAGAAAGGTAAAGTGTGCATAAAAACCAAATATGTTAGTGAAAACAGCAAACATGCATTCCATCAGGGGCTCTCATTGCTTGCAGCAATGTATCTGACAAGAAACACACATTGAAATGCTGATGAATGCCTGTGGGACCTTTAAAAAAGCAAATTGCAAACTGATGCAAAGATCTGGCGGACGGAACATAAGACCGGGAAAATGAGAAACTGAAATCTGTACCTTGGGCCAGTCGTACTTTCAGCCTAATCACTCTGGAGTATTGTGGTCCTAAACTCAAGGTTGAAAGATGAAATACTTGGCTATCAGCATCCCACCTTGTTCGCTAGCCTTTACTCCCCACCCCCAAACCCCTCTTTCACTGCTGTGCATT